ACGTATAAAAGTAGAAAAATGGGAACAATTATTGAAATAAACTAATGCTTGGCAACAAAAAGCGAGCCATTAATAAAAGGAAACACATTTTATAGGAACCAAGAATTCCGCAAAACGTGCAACAGCGCAGACATCCGGAACTGCCCGAAATTGCAGAAAAATGCTAAGAACTACGAGGTTTCGACAATAAGGTAAAGTCAAAACTGCACTTTACTAATAAATATAAAGCTAAAGTAAACTAAATAAAGAAAGGTAAAATAAAACAAGCTAAAATAACTAAACTGAAAACTAATCTAAAACTGAAATAAATCCAATAAAACATAAAAATAAACTAAAAATTATTAAAAAACGAAGCCAAAAACTGAACTACAATATGATTAGGTTTAATAAACCAAAGTATATAGACTGAGATAAAGTAAAGTAGTAAAGAATTAAACCCAAAAAGCAACTGCGCATCACCAATAAATCGAAAACGAAACCAAAACTTAACTAAACAAACTAACCTAAAAACAAATTTAAAACTAAATTAAAACTAAGATAGCTTGACAATAAACTAAAAACACAACTAAACTTAAACAGAAAATAAAATAAACTCTCCGTAAACTAATCAAACTAAACTAAGATAAGAAAAGTTACTAAAGATCTCCGTGGGAGGATCAGTATTGTATGTGGATGGATTGCACCGGCTAGCGTTACGGGGCACACGTGTCCGTTGTGCCTTCGAGCTCAATCTCGAGCTCCTCCAGCAAGCGCATAGGGCCTAGTAATATAGACAGGGAAATGATACCGACTATGACCAGAGAGGTTCGAGTGCTTAGGGCGTTGAGGCAGATCGAGCCTCGAGTCTTGCAACACTGGTAAGTTTGGATGTGGCTGGCTGTTGACGGCTGATAAGGCAGAAATGGCCATTCCATTCTCCCTTATATTCGTCGGTAATGTCATTCTGTGCTCGAGTCTAGAGTATATAGATGAACAAGAACCTTAACTGTGCAGGAGGAGAAAATGGAATTTACTACAAACCGGTAGCGAATGAACTTTATGTATGCTAGTTGACTGTTTGAATTCAAAGTGAACTATAAGGAAGTGTTCAATCGCTTCTTCGAAATAACCAACTAACCCTATGCTTTTTCACATTCGCCAAGATTTCCTGTTCTACTCTGTATCTTCGTTGCAGTCGTCGAAATTCCTCCTCTGCGTCGTCGGTCGGGGGTTCACCGGCTGCAATCCGCATTTTAGCAGTCTCTAAACGACGCATCAGAACCTGAGGGTGTAGAAGAGAGCACAATTTGGTAAAGGGATTGAAGGGCAACAATCGCTTAGGCAGTTGTTATTTGAGGCAAGGTTTAAGAACTACTCATCAGCCTACGAATTCAGTTCAGTACCGGCATCCGTGAGTTTAGATCAAACTTCGGCAGGGGTATCTTGTTCACCATTTAGCGCTAGCGGGTAGCCCGCGTGGACTGATGTTGATCTCGTGGGCGCGGCTGTGAGGTAGTGTTCCACGCTGATCCCGAGGTTCCTGGCCGGCCCTTCTCCTATTTTTCTCTGATCTCATTTGTATTCCATGCTTGTGTTAACTTTACCGTCCTGTTAGTCTTGTTTGAACTGACTCTATCCGTATTCATACCGCCTGGTAGTCGGGATGAAAATCTATGGTTCTGTTAAGTGTTCCAGTCGAAGAGCAACTTTCCAGCAGCAGTCTAGTCATCCTGCCCTTGACTCAGCCTATTACCCTTGCTTTGTCGAAGGTAAACATTTAATTCTTCTGCTGTACGTGTTCATAGACCACAGAAGGCTTACCCTTGTGGTTGACTGCCGGCAGCAAAAAGTGACTGGTCCCTCTGTGGACGAGGGACAGGCCAGTAAGCGCGCTGACTTGCCAACACTTACGACAGCCGCAGAGGGGACAAAGGTCACAC